TCTCCGATCTTACTGTTGTAATCTTCACTTCCCTGGAAGTCTCAATAGTGATCCCGGCCTCTTCCAGACGGACTACAACTCCGGCCACACAGCCAGGCTTCGCACAACCTGAGAACTGAGATGCCTGGTACGGCGCGGAATCATAGAAGCTATGCTTCCGTTTGCGGCGACGGAACAGCGCATCTTCTATCATGGATCCGAGCATTCCACAGACCCTCTCTTTACTATGCACATGTGGACAGATGTACATGTTTGCGATCTGGATGACTTCGCGAAGGGTGGACAATATCCTGGATTTGTCGGAGAAGGAGTTACAATGAAGTGTACCGCCTCGAATGGGGAGACAGCCTGGTGTTGGCCACATGTACCGGTTGCTGTCTAGGGGCAGGAACATTCTTTGAGACAGCGAGCAGTAGTCCCTCGAGGCAGCCGACTTGGCCCCTGACGTGCAGCTTGCTGTGCAGATCGTGCACACAAAACTATTAGCAGGGCCTTTGTGGAGTTGGTGCAAATCGTCAAAACTTAGCTGTATATGCGGACACAGATACACTTTGGCTGTCGATGCTGTACAGCGTCTTCGGTGTATGTTCCCGGTGCTGCATGCGGAAGCTTCAACTGCGTCGAAGGAGGAAGCCGGGTGTAGGTCCATGCAGTAGCTGCAGAGGAGCTTGCCACGTGGAGTGTATCTGTAAAGAGCGTTATTAGAGTCCTCATACTCCGCCATCCTTTTGAAGCAGTCTTTACGTTGCTGCCATGCGTGTTCGTCAATATCTTCAGCACGCAGCTGTAGCAAGCGCGATCGAGCATCCCTCGTGCACGTTAGACTCCGCATGTACTTGCAAGTTGTACGGAAGCTGAGTAAGTCAATCGGTGCTAGGCGGTCTGCAATATCCAAAATTAGCTCAGCTGGCAGCCCGGGAAGATTGGATGTATTGCTGACCTAATGGTTCTTGCCGTTGACTCGCAGCGGCATGAAGACAAACTCGCGATCGGGTTTGTTGTGGACGTTGCACCATGTTCCATCGTCATCGGGGTTGTGGTAGTGGTAGCATCTGTCTCTTATGGCGCGAGCAAGGCTGCGTCGATACATGAAGTAGTCTTTTGCGACAGGCCAGTCGGCATGGTCGCGGGTGGGTATGTTATTTGGAAGGCCGGAGGAGATGATATTCGTCATTCTGAGAGGTGGATCGAAGATGGCTCGTCCAGGACAGTGAGGAGCAATGTCAAGGCGAAAATGTCGGGAACTGAAGAGAGAGGAAAGCGACAGAAACTCAGTATTTCAGGCAGGAGTTTAGGCAGTCGTCCTCACGTGCTCGCTTCTCTTCGGACCCTGTTGAGCAGGTAGTCCCATAATTCGTCCTGAGAGCAATACGCCTACCATGGTTTTGAAACATCTGAATAAGAAGGATGTACCGTAGAAGGATACCACACTCTATTGAAACATATGCCTGCACCTTTGCTGTGCCAAATCCCCTCGTGATAACTAAACGCCACAACACCCTGCCAAATGCAATGCAATAGAACCCACCTCTTCTCTAAGCATCCATCTAACGCTAGCCTAGCATCAACATTAGGTATACCTTCTAATGCATATCCCATTACCAACCTTTCCCCCTTCTTCCTTTCGTCTTCCCAAATCACCCCAACCACACCCACCAAAACAGCAAAATAACCGCCGCAAAGAACCCAACCCAAGCCTTCCACCCGACCCCCGTCTTCTGTGCCATCCTCAACATGCGATTCATAGTGCCCTTTATCTTATGTCTCGAGTTCTCAAACTGGTCGTTCATCTTCTCGGCGAGGGTCGTGGAGTCGCGGATTTCGTCGCCGATGAGGTGGGTTAACTACTTCAATATTAGCGAGGCAATCCATACGATAAATCGACAGGAAGGGAGGGGAGATAGGGAAGTTAAGAGAGGCAAAACATACATCCTTCAACATCTTAACCTTCCCCGTCAAAACACCAACATGCTCATCATTCTGACTCTCCAACTCATCCAGCACAGCCGCCGAGTACTGCCCTCTTGAATTCGGTGTCGCGGATCTGTAAATCCCATCTCCATCCCTATCCCCTCCTCTTCCACTCCCACTCCCCCCTCCTACACCATACCCCCCATACCCACCACCTCCATACGTACTTCCCCCCGCGCTACCCCCAGGATACAACCCTCCACCTCCACTCCCACCACTCCCACTACTCCCTGGATACGCATCCGCAGAAGAACCCGGATACCCATAGCCCTGGCTTATACTAGCGTTGTAGGGGGAAGCGCGGGTTTTGTTTTTTGTTTTCGAGGGCGAGGCGCTGCGGTTGTAGGAGGAGAAGAGGTCGTCGCGGGGGTCGGCGCGCGTGAATCTACTTGACATTGTGGCGGACGTGTGTGGTATAATGTGAGGGCCTGTGGTGTGTTGTTGCCCCTATCTGGGGTGTGGGCGAAGCGTTATGGGCTGAGGTTCGGGTTCGTCGCGGTTCGTTGCAGGCTCGAGGTCTGAGGTCTGAGATCTGAGGTTTGAGGCTCGAAGCGTCGCGCGCGTGGCGTGGAGATGCGTATGCGATTGCGATTGCGACTGTAATGAATGCGCCTTTCCAAGACGGGAGGCTAAAGTGTTCTGTCGAGTGGATTGTGCTGAGGACACCTTTTCGCGGGAGTGACAAGTCGCCCCGGAGGTTAGGAGAAGTTGTGTTGTGCTAACGCCGAGGCCACGGGTTCGCGCGACTTGGGACTAGGTAACACGTTGTTGGAACGGGCAGCGGCGGCGGCGGGAGGGAGCACGTTTGTCTGTGGCGCAAGGACTATTTGCTGAAGGTAGTGACTTATGGGCAGTATGCTATATATGTTCAATCACCAGGACAAGGCATCCTCATAGACTTTTGGGTGTGGTCACAAAACTACGGTTCGAAAAAGGCCACATTCGCGACCACATAAGCATCAATCATAAACATCTCTAGCATTCCCGATCTCGGTAAACTACCAGAAAATCAGTCCGCAAGAGCCATCTGAAATACACAGGTATGCCCCCACAGACCACCCACACCACGCGTATGCATCTGTACAAGTACAAGGAACCCATCCAAACCATATGTGCATTCTTTCATTCCAAAGCGTAAAAGTGGACTTTTCTCGTAACGTGGCTTTGAAACATGATCAGCCGACTGCTGTGAGACTCTACGCGTCTGCCTGGCGGTATGAAAGCGTAGGCGTGACCCGTAGTTGTTTCTTCGCAATCCAGCACCACATTCCATGCTCACATCGCCGGAGGCCACCTAGTTCTTAAGCCCGACCTTGTTGAGCAGACTACCCGTCCGTCCAGCAACCATGGCCTTATCGTCGAAAATCTTAAGCAGACTCTTCCACACCTGACCAGGCTCTTGGCTCGCATCGACCGGCTTCCAGATGCCCGTCTTCTGGTAGTATGCGACGACTGGCGCAGTCTGGGCGTGGTATGTTGACAAGCGCTTCTTAAGCGTGTCCTCGTTGTCGTCGGAGCGCTGGATGAGCGGCTCGCCTGTTACGTCGTCCGTCATGGGCGCCTTGGGCGGGTTGAAAATCTTGTGGTAGGAGCGGCCCGAGGCGGGGTGCACGAGGCGGCCGGTGATGCGCGAGACGAGGAGGCCATCGTCGATTTGCAGTTCTACGGCGTGTTGGAGGGGCTTCTTGGTTATGCTGAGCATGCCGTCGAGCTTCTCGGCTTGGGTTACTGTGCGGGGGAAGCCGTCGAGGATGAATCTGGGGGTGGGGTTGTGTTAGCATGTCCTTCAAAACTGTATAGAAGAGGAGACGCACCCCTTGGAGCACTCAGCGTTGTTCTCGAGCTCCGTCTTGATCATGTTGATCATGATCTCGTCGCTAACCAGACCACCCGCGTCCATGATCTTCTTTGCTTCCCGGCCGAGCGCAGTCTTTGCCGCGACTTGCGCGCGCAGCATGTCTCCGGTAGCCTGTGATCTGTCAGCCCCCATATCTTACTTCCCACTTATTCTCACAAACTCACAAGATGGCAAGCGCAGAACTTCTCCTTGATCTTGGGCGCCTGAGTACCCTTGCCTAACATGCCATGTAAGCAAAACCGCCATTTTTACCCTCTCTCCAACCGGGAACAACATACCAGCACCGGGCGGACCCATCAAGATCATCCTGACGCTCTCCGCAGACGCAGGCGCACCCCCATTTTGACCCGCGAGTCTCTTTTCCAAGTCAGCGATGCGCTTCTCAAGGCTGGTGACGGTGCTCTTGAGGTCATCGACCGACGCATCTGTTAAAGGTGCCATTGCGCCGAAGTTGTGAGGAGAATAAGTCCGGTGGGGAAGATAAAAGTGGGTGAGGAAAGTAGAGTACGACGAGCAGAGTAAGATGATGCGCGGACCGCTGGGAGGGGATTAAGGACGGTTGCGCAATGGCAGTGGGCAAGGTCGCGTTGTGGATGAGGTGGAGCTCACGGTCGAGTTGCTTGCTCGGTTGTGCACGTCCCTGCTTTCAACTTCGGCTGCTGCGGCGGGAAAATGCGTCCCTTCTGCCCGATCCTCGGTCTCACCTTGGCATTGGCGCGGTGATGTCAGAGCAAAATGCGCCGCGGACTTTGCTGGGCATTGTGTTAGCGGTATATTCACCAATGTGATGAGCTGTTCATCGTGCTGTGTGCAATTCAGGACGCAGCTTGGTTTCTGAGGCCAGTGCATCAGCAGCATTGAACAGGTGGGGTCTTGGTAATTTCACAAGGTTGCGCGCATAGCGTCTACATATCGCATTAGAGTGGACGAATCGTGATCAGCTGCATACAACGACTACAAGATGTTCAAGAAGTACGCCTGCGTTGCAAAGATGTTTCGTATCAGTCATAGCAAGGGCACAGGCGCATGCTTCAATAGAGAAAGTACTACATTCTACTATACATGTTTTATGTCCAGAAATCTGCTCGCAGATCTGCTATCGCTACCGCCACTTTCATGTCAATCTGTACCATGACAGCCCCGCTGTCACATGTTTGCTACAACCTGCAGTTCAGACAATCTTCACCACTGCGTTGTGTTGGAAGGCATGCTCTGGCGATTCTTCCTCAAAGATCTTCGGGTGAAATTTATCTTTTTGAAGTCGAGACTCCATGAGACCTAATCTTTCGAACTCACATTCGCCCTTCATACCATTGCAATCCCAAGGTGTTGAGCTTTTCTTCGACAGTACCAAGTACGCCGCATTCTTTCCCTGCCACTTTGCCTCAAGCAGTTTCAGACAATGCACATTTGCTCCAGGTTCCAGTCGATGGTAGAAGTCGGCGTGGAATGTGAAATGATCACGATTTCGATGTCTGATGCTAGACATCTCTGTGGACGGGGTGTCATGCGTCTCAGAACTCGTGAGTGGCTCGATGCTCTGCGTCGAAGATTGTAGGGGCTTGATAAAATACTTATCAACGGTGGCCTGTATCATGGTCCCTGACAGTATGATGTATGCATCTTCCAACTGACCCGTAGGATCGGCGCCTTTTGGAGAAGATTTGGCCTCCACGACTGTAGCCAACTCTTGAATGTCGTCCATGTGCTCGTATGCAATACAATCCCGATCTTTGCCTTTTTCGGGAAACTGAAGGGAAGCCCAAGAGAAAGTAGGCGCCCTCCATATCTTGCATCGAATCGCGGGGTGGCTTGTGTACCACGAGAGGTTTTGTATCAAACCCTCTTTCCACATGCCAGCAACGTATTCCCATCCAGTGGCCTCTCTGAAGCTTTTAGCAATGCCGGAGATAGCTGGGAAGATGTCGTTTGGCTTTGAGAGCTCCAACTCGCTGAAGTTCCTGACGAGTCTTGACCATGAACCCGCAATCTTTTTACGATCGTCTTTAAGCGAGCGCCACCGTTCTGGATGACAATGACTCTTGGTGGCCGGCCATTCTCCGTCTATAGTCTTTTGAAAATATCCTCCTGTATATTCTCCTGGGCTGTTGAGAGAATCAAGTCGCATGGACCCACATTCGCAGTCTTCGTATTCCATACACTCCCAGATGAGCTCATGCTCTGCGAAGTGGAGAATACGGGGACTCAAGATACGCTCTTGGAAGGCCCAGCCTCGCTGCAGGAGTGGCAAATCACGGCCCCCGTGCCCCATTGGATGTCTCATGTGAAAACTAGGAGCACTTGACAAAGGTCTGCCGACATATTTCGAGTCTGCGAGTCGGAAGAGACCCCTATTTGGACCTGAAGATGCTGAAGCCGCGATCGTTATCGTAGAATTAGCGTATATGTCAGCCATTTGAGCAGACTGGTTCTGCCAATCCGTCTCGTCGTCTTGGATAATCTGCCTATGTGGTCAGTGCCTATAACATGATACTTAATGCATAGCAATGCAGAAGCGACTTACGCATAATGAGTCAATCCAGATATAGTGAATTCCAAGCTCAAGTATAACCGTAATAGCATCTCGAAACGTTCGCGGCATGGCTGTCTCTGGGATATGTTGCAGATGAAAGGACAATGTGTCTGGCTTCCGAGTTGTCTGCAATGGCTGTTGACCGCCCCAACAGTGACTGAGACATGCATAATGCCCGTTGAGTCCTCTAGATTCGATCAAGCGAATTCGACGTGGTGTGTCGACGCTCACCTCTATCACCCGGTCAGGTAGTTTGATGCGGTCGTGAGGTTTGCGTGACGTTGAGCACAAGCTTGTATGCGTATTCAGACAGGTGTCAAGCCAGCGCTTGATGTTCTCAAAGCTCTGTCTCGATGCGGTATTGCCTGGAAGGTCTGTCCACACGGGAAGAACTGGGTCTTCCTGAGCTGCTCTGTCATTAGTCAAGCTACCATCACCGGTACCTGTGGACTCACCGTCCAGGACGAACAGCTTTGTCCGCACTGTGTTCGTAGATGTTCCGTCTCCCCGAAATTCATCAAACGTAACACTCAGGGTATCCTTCCAGTGACCGATCCGGATATCACGCGCTATAGACTCTGTTGTGATCTCACATACAGCACTACAGTAGCGACATCCACAGCGGACTGTATCTTTTATCGCCGCACTATGATAGCCAGAACCAAGGAAACCAGGCTTTCCCTGCATGCATTGCTTGATAGCAAGACACGCAGGCTGTTGAGGATCATCAATTGGTACAGCCTCCACGACCGTGTCGATCTTGAGGAGTGCTTCAAGGAGGTTTCTAGTCGCCCACTTACCTTCTTCGGCGTCGACACGCAACTCTACTATCCCACCGTCCAACGTCCATAACTCCGAGCCGTTCCCGAAGTCCAGCCTTGGATCCGAGATCGTTCGAACCGCCCACCCGGCCATGAGTCCTGTCTCAAATGTGTTGGCGCAGGTTTGAATTTGCCAATATTAATCGGGTTGAGTCTTGTGAAAGCTGGCATCTCTTCTTTAAGTGCTGTTCAGCCCCGCAACACGTGAGAACCTTCGTGCGAGGTGGGTGACTGTGCCGCAATGCTGCATTGCAGCATATTGATCGGCGTGGCTATGTCAATATCGCCAGCGCAAGGCTGCCTTGCAGCCTATTGACCGACGAGGCTATGTCGATTTCCGTAGCGAATCAACTTGTCAGCCAACGCTTTGTCTGCTCTCAGGCATCACGCTTTCGAATACTACCCCTCAGCCGTAGTCGCTCCGGGCCTCTGATACGGTCGTGGATCGCTGTAGCCGCCGGAGAGGTCACAAGTATACAACCCACTCACGGGGTTCAGCGCTCAGCAGCGCATGGCAGGATACGACAGGCATGACGTTCGAGTGGCAAAACTCATGCAGTGTCCAAGGATTTTCCGTCTTGTATGGCACATGATGGCAGCAGTTGAAGTTCTGAGATTGGATGCTATGGTGCAGTGGCTATGGAGAAGAAAGTGTCAGGCTCCTGCTTGGGCAGGGCAGGTACCTACGCAGGCTAGGGGCGATTCGACAGACGCGTTACCGAATGCGGCGACGACGCTTTCGACCCCGCGCAACGACACGAACATGCCAAGAGCATCATCGAATCGACATCAGCTTTGCATGCACGCAACCCTATTCCAGATCTTGCAACTAGTTTCCGGGTATTGAGAACGGATTTTACTTGTCACAGTCTTCATGGACTTCTTTGATCTATTTGGTAACCGAAATAAACTCAATCCTTTGCAAAAAGATCCACCTGCCCATCAAACCTACCCGTACTGCGCAACGATCTCCGCGCACTTTGAATGCGCAGTAGAAAGAAGTTCGCGTCGGGCCGTTGATCATCCTCAACGTCAAGACACATCTCAATATACATGCGTAGCTCAGGCGAATACCCCTTGTAGCCCTCGAGACAGTCCCGTGATAAGTTACCCGCTTCGACAAGATCTCGCAAAGGGCTATCCGTCATGCAATACATGAGCGACATGACCAACCCAACTTGATACATGTCTGTCGCTTCAGTCGCTTGCGCCCCTTCTGGAGGCCTGTACTGATCAGCCACAAGAGGAAGATCACGAAGGGTATAGTTGTGAGCTTCCATCTCGCTATCGGTGATGGCGCAGCCGAAATCTGCTAGTTTGATGCTGACGGGGTAGTCGTCCGGGTTGACTTGCGGGCCGCTCTTTAGGAAGATGTTGGACGGAATGATGTCACGGTGGGTGATGGAATCCCAGTTATAGGCCGCCTCGTTGTAGGGATATGGTCCGTGATGTAGGTACTGGACGGCTGTTACTAGGGCTTCGAAGACTTGCCAGACGAAGCTCTCTGGAATGAGCTTGCCGCGCTTATTCCAGGTTTTGATCAAATCGGCCAGAGTACCTTTGTCGCAGTACTCTGTTACGAGATAGGGTGAGGCATGGCGTCCGGTTACTGGGCTAGGGAGATGCGCGCCGTAGAAGGCGATGATGTTGCGATGCTGTAGGCGGCTCATAATATTCATCTCTCGAGCTTGAAACCCAGGATACATGGCTTCTGAAGGTAAAACCTTCATGATGCGCATGTCTTTCTGAAGATTGTCGCGCACGAAAAGGATACCTTGATTGAAAGTCCCGTCAACACCTCCCAGTTCGGACTCGATAGTCCATCGTCCACCGACGACTGTTCCAACAGCGAAGATGTCGCGATTACATGCTCGATTTGCTCGGTCTAGCAGTAGGTTCTTGACAGTGCGCTCATTCTCAGCCCGGTTCGCAGCCCAACTTCCAGATTCGTTATTCGACACAAGCTGTATACAATGAGCCAGACCTGGTGCATCAGCAGGGTCGGAGGGCGATGTGATCAGCTGGGTACGGTCCAAGAATCTAGTAATAACGTAGTTAGTGTTGTTTGGAATCTGGTAGATTCGCCTGAAGTAACGTAGGGTAAGCTGATCGGGCTTTTCGAGTTTGGGGTCTTCTTCAATCATGTAGTCGGCAAGGCGTAGCATTGCCTCGCGGAAACTTTCGGTTTCATCTTCACATGTAAAGGTGCCGCTGTCGGCTCGGTTGCGACGCTTGTAAGCACCCTCTGACATATCGTGGCTCGGGTTTACAGACATTTGGCGAGCGATATCGAGGGGATTTCGATGTACCTTTGGGCGATGAAAACGCACGAGAATTAGATGCTATCGACAGTTCAGCAGCATCACGATCAAGGTATATACTCAGTGGACAGATACGCCGTGCACATACCTCTGGGTGTACTTTGTTAACGGCATGCAGATGATTCATAGCGGCACAGTGTTGTGTACGCGAATCATGATATCGTTCTCCACAATGTCATACGTTGTCGATACACCATGTGATCCTGTTTTGGAACAGCACTATATACCGAGACGGTATATAGCATTCCATGATTTTCTTTTCTTCTTTCACTAGTTCAGCTTCAACAACTGACCAAGACAAACATCGCGTAGCTCTTGCGTTAGCGCCTTTCAACATGGCCTCGAAGAGCTCAAGTACAACGGAAACGACGAATGTCAGCAACGACAGCGTGGCACCGCATTCAACACCCCAATGGCTCAATGAGCTAGAACCGGAAGGTCCGGAATGCTCAGACTACTTCAACGAGTTCAAGCGCTGGTGTATTTCAAAGGATATCTCCTGGTTGTACCCTCCTGATAGAGCTCCGTTCACAGGGTTTATAAAAGACATGAATCTGCGAACTTACCCCGAGGATCCAGAGGGATATCCAGGCTTTCACCACGCATTCGGCCTCTTTGTCCGCTATTATAAAGCCAGGAATGGCAACCCCCCTGGAAAGCTGACGATGATGGACATGTGTACGCTGCTTGATATGCTGAATAGCAAGTTTGCCTCCACGATAGCAGACGAGCGGTTTGCGATCGATGGGAAGGTCACCGGCGATAAAGCTGGTGAAAAATGGCGCATCGCCTCGAAGCTGCAAGACGTTGACGGAAGCTTCAACCGTGGTATTTACTTAGTCCACAACGAGAACAACCCTGATAATTCCGCACAGATCATGAAGACTCTTCCCCTACCCAGAGATTATCTCGGCTTCGCTGAGCGAGAGCTCGATATTCTCGGGACTTTGCAGCACGACAAAGTCATCAAGTTCTTCGACGGTACCGCACCAAAGAGCATACACGATACGGCATGGATGATCACGGAGTACTGCAACAAAGGTACGTTGTTTGACTTCCTCGCAAAATATGCCTATGAGGCGAAACTTCCAGTACCTGAGCTCTTCGTTTGGAACATCTTGGAGAGCCTGGTACACGCGGCTGTTTATCTGCACTATGGTCCGAATGTACTCGAAAAGTTTGAGCAACAGGAGCCTGAAGATGGATGCCTGGAGGTTAAAGAAGACGCCTCTTGGGATGTCGTATATCATCGCGACATCATTCTGTCGAACGTCTTCATCACTTCTAGTACCGGCGACAAGACTGAGTATCCGATCGTCAAGTTAGGCGACTTTGGCTGCGCCATGCGGCAATCAGAAATTAGTACTTTGGACCAAGACAAATATCCAAAGGCAGAGGAAACACCGCGTATGGACCCTGCATACGTGCCACCGGAGGGTCAATATGGCACCAAAGCCGTCGATGTGTATCAGATCGGCCGACTAACGTGGTGTGTTGTGCAGAACGTCGTGTCTCCTACCTGTCTTGACGAGAAGGCAATGCTGCCTGAGAATTTCGAAATTTCAGAAGATGCGTCTTACTCACGGGAGCTACGCCGTATCCTGTATTCCTGCACGAGGGCCCGCGCTGACCTTCGAGTCGATTCTCTGCCTCTATTACGCCTCGTCCGGGATACGAGACAACGATTGATCTCTGAGAACCGCTTACCGTTTGTCGAGCTCTACGTATCGTTTGTTGAGCGCCTTTCTGAGTTCCTCGAAGTCGCCCATTAAGCGATGAAAGGTATGAGAAAGAGGTCTGAGTAGCTTGGTAGTTAGATGTAATCTACTCAAATTTGTTTTATAAGTTCTATAAGCTGTGATCTGGCGGGCGCAGATCTTTGGAAGAGCGTATTGTGGTGGCCTTTGGAACCAGCTCTTGGTGGAAATGCAGTGAAATGTGTCAGCTAATGAATAGTTCGACCATCCTTCAGATAGGGCTGGGTATAATCCCAGCAATCAAGACAGCTCAACCAACCTCGGGCGTCGTTCTCATCGTTACGCTCACTGACTTTGCACAATGTACTATTGTATTACAAATATGCCTTGCTTGCCTTACTCCACCATTCCGCTGGCCAAGATCTGGGTTGGCCAATTCGGCGACGTGGGAGGACCGAACTAGCACCGAGCCTGAAATGTATTGCTTGGTAACATATGAATGATCGCAAGATGTGCCATTTTGGGATACAGTGTTATCCAGGCCCCAAAGAACGCGCGTAGGTGGGTAGATGCGCGTGCATCGGCGTTTCTTTCACGTAGATCAGGCGGGCCGCGTGGGTCCGCTCCCCAGACTCCTGCTACCGGCCCGTCGAAGGATTGCATGCCGCGAAATCCCGCATCCTATGTTCTGACGTATAGCGCATATCGGTCTAGTACGTGTTGTCGCACGTAGTATTGTTGGGGTGCTTTGATGTCTTGTAGATGTCGAAATGGAAGAAGGCATGTTGCTTCAACGACCAGGGATATTGTATCAAGTCAAAGCAAGAAGATGACGAGCCAAGTTGCTCAGGCGTCTACACACTTGCATACAACCTTAGTTTGCGGGACGAACGTGGAAGTACGATCTTGGTGGTGGAGAGACCGAAGTTACTCCAGCGAATTGATCTTGGTAGGTGGCCTAAGGCAAGCGACACCACTGTATCAGCGGGTGGAAGTTTCCTGCCCGTCTCTGATGCGCAGCGGTGAGTATTAAAGACTTGCCCTGTGTCATCGTCGGATCTTGGCTGGCGTCGCCATAAGTGGGTTCGTTGTTGGCGATCGTAATCATAAAAGAGTGGTGAGAGTGTCTAGGTCGGGCTTGGTACATCATCAGGGCTCCGGTTCTCCTTGGCTTTGCTGATCGTGGTATGTGTACATGGGTGTAACGAATACCGGTGGTCTAAGGCCTGCCATCGCCAAGCGTTTAAACGTTCGTTGTTCATCAATATCGCATGCGCGGGGGAAGTGTTACCCAAGGATGACGAACAATGATGCCTATAGCACCTCATCCATCGATAGACAGCCTTTTAGCATGGAGTGCAGCGCCGGTTACTGAGGAGAAAACACTGGAATTAGAAATTATACTCACGGATGCGATACCGTCTCGAACGTTAGCGTGCCATGCATAGTCCCACCAAAGCAGGACCAAGATACATTCTGCTCATTGACGTTACTGGTCAAGGGCCATATGGCTGCCAGCAGCCCGCGTACTCTTGAGAGACTTGCCTTGTTGGTCCTCGGCGTATAACGATTCGTCGATCTGCGTATGCCAACCATCATTTCGCCTCGGTCACTGGGTGCCTAAAGACATTTGCAGTGACCTGCCGCGCTCAGAATGTGGTGACGTTTAGGCTTCCGAGGTTTAGCCACTCCAACCTGGCATAACAACCCCGAATAGAAAGCCCACTGTTGGGCGCCTGAAGACGTTGATCGGAAGCCTCGCTCTTGTGCTGTGAATGCGTCTTGGAATGTCGGAGCTGTGCTTTTCCAGCATAGCATGTCGAGACTGAATGAGGTATAAGTATCAGGCTGTTGCTCCTTCGAGAGCTCATCATCCAACACGATCCTCAACCCTCAAGCAGCTCACTCCCACTTCAACCTCAAACACTCCAACAGTGTGTCTTGTCGATCTCTTGCTTTTGCTTCCAGCTGACCGTTCCTCCCAGAACTTCAAGATGCAGTTCACTCTTGCCTCCGTTATTGCCATTGCTGTCGCTCTCACTCCCACGGTCAGCGCCTTCTCCGTTAGCGTAAGTCATATCCCGATGTGAGCCTCAACGAGGCGATCCTCATCATGAATACCAGCTGACTTGTATCTCTCACTCCAGAACTGCGAGACCGGCCAGTACAAGAACTTCGGAGAAGGTGGTAACAACAAGTGTCAGGGTTTCAACACTGGCAAGAGTGTTGCATTCGACAGCAACAAGGGCCTGTCTCTCCGCGTCTTCGCTTCGACCAACTGCCAGGCAGGTGACGAGATTCTCATCACCGAGCAGAACAAGTGCCAGGAGGTTCCTTTCACCGGACTATCTGTGCTGGCGGAGTAAGGGCGATCGCATACATCTTGGCAAGCAACAAACGCTTTGAGCATTTCGGGGAGCGAAGGAACTTGGAGGCGATGCTATCCAACATAGCGTAGCCGTCCACCGTGTATCTTAGACACCTGCACTCGTCACGTACCATAAAATCGTTAAAATGTCGATATTGAAAGGTGTCATGGTCTATCAGTGATTCGCGTGTTGAAGATGTTTATCATCTGGTGCTCTTTGGAGAGGGCGAGTCGGCCGGTTGGCGGACCCCTTCATCGGTGTAGCGGGAACAACGTCGCCGATTTGAGGAACGCGTTAGAAACCTTTGGAAGTAGTATCAGCAATCGATGGGTCGTGGCGCCCGCTGAACGCGTGGTGTTGGTGTCGGATGGGATCGTGCTCCGACGATGGCGTTCCTGACAGCTCACCGACACGTGATAGCACGCAACCGCAACATCGTCGGTCCGATTCGTCCGGTTCCTGAACGATTTGTAACGCGAGAATGACGCCACGCAATCCGCTGCTCCAGCGCGACATTTCAACCCCACAATCCTCTTTTCCACCATATAGCCTAACGCGATCTTCTGGCATCCCGCAAGAGGCGCGTCTAGATCACGGTGCTTTGCCTACATCTGCCGAGGTGTCGCAGCCGGGCCCTAGCCTATAGCGTACCTCTATGACGTGGCTATGGATCAATCTCGGACGAGTCCGTCATTGTTTGGCGACATACTCGTGGAAAAGCTTAGAAATGCAAAACTGATGAAGCACTAACGAGACACTTATAGACCGCCATTGATCGCACGCCAAGTTCGCATCTCACTCACAACACACAACCTCCAAACATCAGTCTTATTATACTATACTTTTGTCTTTTCTGTTAGATACCCATTCACATTTCCGCAAACATGGCACCAAGAAGATATGAAGCCGAGAAGAAGGACCCTGCGCCTTTGGCAAAGCCTCTCGACTTTGCTTTCTCCAAGAAGACTGCCCAGAACCGATTCCTCAAGGGTGCTATGACCGAGCGTCTATCATCATGGGATGCTCAGAACCTCGAAGCTCGTGGTGTTCCTTCCAAGAACCTCGTCAACGTCTACCGACGATGGGGCGAGGGCGAGTTCGGCGTCATCCTGACTGGCAACATCATGATTGAATACGACCACCTCGAGGCTGCTGGCAACCCCATCATTCCCCGTGGCTCAAAGTACGAGGGCGAGCGATTTGAGATGTTCAAGGAGCTTGCGACACAGTCAAAGAAGCACGGCTCTTTGATCGTCGGACAGGTCAGCCACCCAGGTCGCCAGGTCACCGAGAGCATCCAAAAGAACCCCATCTCCGCATCCGACGTACAATTAGAGGGCAACGTCATGGGTATGACCTTCGCCAAGCCACGCGCCGCTACCGACGAGGATATCAAGAACGTCATCGAGGGCTTCGCCCACGCAGCTGAGTACCTTGAGAAGGCCGGTTACGACGGTATCCAGCTTCACGGAGCCCACGGCTACCTGCTCGCACAATTCCTTGCCCCAAGCACCAACAAGCGCACCGACAAGTACGGTGGGTCTCTCGAGAACCGCGCACGTATCATCACCGAGATCGGTCAGGAAGTACGCAAGCGCACCTCTTCCAACTTCGTCCTTGGCATCAAGCTCAACTCCGTTGAGTTCCAAGACAAGGGTTTCGGCACCGAAGAGGCTGCCACTCTCTGCAAGTTGCTTGAGGACAACAGCTTCGACTTTGTTGAGCTCTCCGGTGGTACCTACGAGCAGCTTGCTTTCGGTCACAAGCGCGAGTCCACCAAGAAGCGTGAGGCTTTCTTCCTCGATTTCGCCGAGAAGATTACACCTTCGCTCTCCAAGACCAGGACCTACGTCACTGGTGGCTTCAAGAGCGCCGCCGCCATGGTCGACGCCCTCAACACCGTCGACGGTGTTGGTCTCGCTCGTCCGGTCACCCAGGAGCCCGAGCTTCCTCGCCAGATCATCAACGGCGAGGTTCACGCCGCGATCAACCAATTGACCGACGACAACGATTTCGGCATCACCAACGTTGCAGCAGGAACACAGATTAGGCAGCTGGGCAAGGACCAGCAGCCTATCGACCTCAGCGACGAGAAGAACTTCGAGGCCTTCCAGAAGGACATGGGTACCTGGGCTCAGGGCTTCTCCGACGACAAGACCGGAAGCAAGTACGGTTACGTCGACATTGAGAGCGCCAAGGCCATTCCCTACGGCACCGCTGCCCCTGCTTCGTAGATATTTCGCATCAATTAGACGTGTACATAGACGGAACGAATAGGAACGAATTCCACGATTGAATGCATCGAATCAATATCTTCATACACAGCCTTGTCCCTCCTCCGGTGTAGCAGGTCTATCATAAAACTCGTCCTCACTAATCTCCCTAATAACCTCAATCCTCCACCTCTGCGTCTTAGCCCCCTCATCCTTGTGCCTCAACACCACCTGCCTCCTATTTTCCCCACCAACATCCATAACCTTCAGCACGCCACTCGCTTCATTCCCAATCCACCATGTTCCATCGCCCCACTCGCCAATCCTCCAGTCTAGCGCATGCGGCGTGTCGTCTGCCCGCCTCAACACCGCTTTCGTCGTGTCGTCTGCGTAGACATCGAGGAGTCGGTTTGGGCCCAGCCACCATGTACGGAGCCGGTAGGAGTTGGGGGTTGAGGGTGAGGGTATGAAGGCCCAGTACTGGCCGGAGTAGTAGCCTTCGCGGGTCAATTTGAGGAGCCCGGTGCTGTTTTGGGTGCCGTGGTCGTTGACGATGTCGAGGGTGGGGTTGGAGGGGTTGGAAGTGTTTGTTATGCGGTGGAATTGGGAGTGGGAGAGGGGGGTTTGTGGGTTGGTCATTTGGGGTGGTTGCGCTGGTTGTCGGGAAGTGCTGAAGGATGATTGAAACTCTGAAGCTGTGTTGGTGATACTATTATGTGCGTTAAGCAGTGAGATTCTTATACTTGTACCCTCACGAAGGATTCATCTCTTGTTGAGGAAGTGTTCCACTTCAGCGTGGCCGGTCAACAGCCGTCCCATGTGGCGTACAGCACGAGACTGTCAAAACGGGTAGCAGGTCGACCTATCATCACCGCGAAAGTCTGGAAGATTGAGTTTCGGTTGTAGGCCTGAATTGATGGTTTAGGTAGTGATGAATGAAACCTGGGCAATACGCCGATCACTTGACCAGCTGACAGTCAGCCACCATGCAGGGCCGTTGCTAGCGACCCTATTACGACCATGTAGATGTTTTGTTGGGATATGCACAAACTTTGGCAAGTCACAATCAGAAATTGTTGAGGATGAAATGATCGAAAAAGAAGAGGAAACGAAGATGAGGATGGTTTGAGAAGGGCTGATGACGTCACATCGTCATTTGGGGGCATAATGGCAATTTTGATCACGACAACTTGGTCCTCTCCAACCAGCATAATGATGCATTAGCATGCCAGAAAATGACTGTGAGAGAGCAACAAGCGGCAATCAAGACATGAATTAAAGTAGGAGTATGCAAATATCGACCAGCACCTCCTCGACACCCTAAACAGAGTTCCGCACTAATGCTCACTTCTTCGCACCCTTCAACTTTGCAATTCTTTCACTCCTCCGCGTCCCGGTTGTTGGTGGAGCCTTTTGCTTCGCAGGTGTCTTCGCAGGTGTCTTCGCCGCCTTCTTCGTAGTCTTCTCGGGTGGGCTTGGAGCCGCCGACCTTCGCGATTGGCCTTTGGTCGTTGCCTGAGGTGATAGCCTTGATCTCGGCGAAGAGGATTGAGTCGCAGCAGCAGGTAATGGGTTATCGTGGCGGACCGCTGGTGAGGCGGCTACAATAGGTTCTGCTGACTTAGAATATCTGGTTGGGTCTTCGAAGTGCACCAGGTCGTCATCATCTTCACCTTCTGGGTCGGTGAAAATGGGCTCGGATGGTTCTTCCCTTCGACTGGACTTGGGAAGCATTTCCTGTCCTCTCGCCTCCGCTCCTTCGGCGGGTTGCTCTAGTTCATCTCCACGAAGCCGTTCGCCAATCTCTGGTACATGCTTTCTACCATGCCGACGCTCGTTCCTCTCGTTCTGAAGCTGTTTGTTAAGCTTGCGTGTCTCCGCAACGCGATACTGTCTGGTGCCTTCCGCAGGGCTCACATGTGGAGACATGCCCTCTTGTATGGGGGAAAGATATTGCCCTGGAACTTCACCCTGGGTCTTCATAGCGATCGCACTGGGCGGCTGGCGTAACGGAATATTATTGCGCGGCTTTACGGCGTTCTTCTGGGCATCTGGAGCGCGTGCCTTCTCGCGACGCTCACGAATGTCGTTGCTGGTGATGCGCGGTCGAGGTGATTCTTGCACTGGCGAGGTGCCGTCGCTAGAAGCAGGAGAAGTAAAAGGGTCATGACTCTCCTGATCCAGGTCAGGTCTACTCGTACGCGCAGTCTTCGGCCGTGGCGTGTCGACTTGTACATCTATAGAGCCTTGGGCACGGCGCGGTGTAGGATTCGATGGACGAAGGATCGGCTGTTCGTCTTCGCCAGAAGACACATCTTCACTAGAAAGGTCTATGGGGCCCAGGCGTTGTGGCGAAGGCGTATCGTCGCTGCTGTAAGGACCGCCTCGACCACGACGAGGCGTCGGATTCGACGGCCGCGCCAGCGGTGAAGAGGAGTAACTGTTCAAAAAGTCTAGACTGGATGGACTTCCGCGACTCCCTCTACTCTGTTCCGATGACGGTATCCTGAAGTCCGAGAAGTTGAGATCGATATCGGGAGCTGTGGGCGAGGGCCGCTCTCGTACAGGGCTTGAGTGTGATGCTGTCGGATTGTAGCCTAGCATATACATTTCTAGCTCGTCATCTTGTTGTGTTTCTTCCTCATGAATCAGACTTCCCTCCGGTTGACCTGTGGAAGATGGAGACTGAACTGTGATCTCAGGCACGTCTCCTGCCGCCGCATCGTCTACCCTCCTTCTTACTCTCCTTTCAGCCTCTCTTTCTCTCTCAAATCCTTCGTAATCATCCAAAAGCTTACGCTTAGTCATCCTAAAGGTAGTTTCACTCTCTGACAGAGTCAAATAAGTGCCGATCATCCGATCGACCTCACGGGCAATCTCCTTATAAAGATCCTCTGGCATCTCCTCCATCCGTTCTTCTAGGTCAGGCATGATCTGGAGAGTACGAACAACATGGTACACAGCCAGCCGGATCCTTTTGCGGTTGCATTTATTATGTTGGAAGAACCAGCATAAGCCCGTTGCTGCAGCTGCAGCTCCTGCGATAGCCAGCAAGATGTCTCCGTATTGCTGAAGAAACGATGGGAGCGTGGTTTCGCCAAAGAGATATTGTGTTAGTGTCTTTGCGACCACATATGGCGGAGGTGTTGGACGAGGCATGTGAGCCTGTCCAGGTAGCAACATAGTCGTAGTGTCTGTAATTATCGTGGACTTAGGCAATCGCGCGGTGCGCAAGGTCTGTGACGCTAAAGTGTAGTATCGCCTTCCAGCTGCCATTTGGACTACTTTCACTTTGAAGGTGGGAGCAAACAGTGAAGTTGGATAGACTACGCCGGTCCCATTTCGTTGTTTAGAAAGGAAAGGCTCTTCGAACAAGAAGGCTCTCGGTCTTTGTATGAGCGACGAAGATGTACCCGCGGCGTCGTTGTCCAAGTTGAAAAGACAATGAACAAAGGACGTAAAGATTCGAACAGTGTCGAAAGACCGCGTGCATTCGATACGGATGGCGATGCTGAGTTTCTATATGGCCAAACTAGCGGTTCAGTCGAAGCGGCCAGTTTGAGCATATAGAAGCTCAATCTCGCCATCCGCACCGAACACACGCGTTAGCGATGGCGGCGTGAAGTGCGTCGTAGTTGCGTGCGAACAAAAAGACCCACTAGACACATCTGCTAACAACACCAACGCTATGCGAAAGTCAGCCCACCAACGACTGGAAGATGTTCGGCTTCATCTTCTGGGGTAGTTGAGCCTCAGTACCGCGGTCGGTAGATTGCGAAAGCGTTGACGGTCAGTCTGCGGGATGTCAGCCGTGGATCGTCACCAGATCAGACGATGTGCCTTACCCGTCTTTTGTCCTCTCATCCCCCGAGATCTCCATCCCTTCTTATTGTTCGTTCTCCTGCTCTCTTTCATCTCCATCTCCCCGTCCTCCTCTTACTCCATTATCCTAAAACCCCTTAACCCTCCCCACCCCCGTCAGCGGAACCCCAACACCCCTCTCCCTGCCACCCTGCCCCCTCCCTTGACTCGACGGTCCCCCCAACCCTATATCGCGCCCATATCCCGAGCCACCGCCATAAAGCTCGCGACTATCCCAGTCTCTTCCTTTAAACGGCCTCGCATGACCGGATTGTTTAAGCCATTTCGCAAGCAAGACACCGACGGTTGCCCAGGCCGCGGCGATGAGGAGGGCGAAGATGACGAAGTACATCGTGTGAGGAGTAGACGGCGACCGGAATGAGGACCTCGGGATGATTGGTGTCTTGGTATCGATGGCGAGGCGGCGATCAGGTAGACGGGCACGTGGTAGTTTAGGCTGGACGGTTGGACCAAAGGTAGGAGAAAGCTTCAGGATCAAAGCATACCTATATGTTGTCAAGAGAAGGGATAGTGGGATGACAACGCAGAAGCGGAGGTCATCGGCTGCACCTACTGGCGGCAGCGCTAAAAGTTGGGGTAAAGATGGGGTAAACAAAGCTTGTAACTTCCTCCTATCCGAACGCATGGATCGACATTACGGTCTTCCTGGGTGCGCCATTGGCCGATAAAGGAAAACACCAAGTAAAGAGCGAAATCAAGAACGCGGATCCCACATGCAAGAATGTGACAAATGTGACATGAAAGGCGGCATGAGAATACGTGCGGCTTCTTCAGTTTCTACAACTCCGTTATGCGCTATCGAACGGGGGTATACGCGCATCATTCAAAACACCACACTCTTGCAATCAAGTTGACCTCTCACTATTCCCCCCAGTCCCTTCCTCCGCCTTCTTCTCCACCTCCTTCGTCTTCTTAAACCTTTCCTCCGCAGCCTTAGCCAGCACCTCCCTCCTACTCAACCCACCCGTCGCACCACTACTATTCCCACTGCTCCCACCCACCTTCCCCTCCCCACCACCAGCACTCCCCAGCGTAAACTCGCCCCCAGTCCACCCCCCATGATCATGCACCTCCTCCGCCCCCTCATCCCCTGGATTATAAAACTCATCGTTCCCCACACTCCTCCCGCCACTCTTCCAATCATCCCTCGCAACTTCCCGTTCAATCTGCTTGCACAAGTTCCAGAAGTTGCGGTCGTGAGGGCCCCAGACGTTATGCGCCAGCTCATGGCACAGCGTGTTCCTTATCGTCTTGTAATCGCGATACCCGTCGTAGGCATCTGTGCGGAGCCGTAACTCGATGACCTCGCCTTGGTTGCGGTTGAGGCCCAGTGTCCGACTCTCCATTGTAGTATGCATGGCTGGATCCATCTCCGTGAGCAGCGGCACGCTGAATTTATGTGTGCGCATTGCTGCTTTGATCCCCGCGTCGTCTCGAAGCCGTTGAAGGAACCGTAACGAACGGTCTGGGTTCGGTAGATACGGCAGCGGCCGTAGTGTATGGAACGTGTATTGCGCCTCCTCTTGTATCTTCTTGTAATCGCGGTTGCGCGCTGGCAGGGCGGCTTTGATGGGACCGGGGCGCCGGGGCGCAGAGGCGGCAGATATGGTGTTGTTGAGGGAGGAGACGGCTTCGGTTGTGCTGCCCATGAGGGTTATTTTCTTGCCGACGAGCTCGGTCAGTGGTAAAGAGGCGTTCTTGAAGGGTGGCTTCTGGAGTCCGATCTTCCCGCCTACGAGGAACTTTTGGTTGGACGGCGGTATTGACAAGTCGTTTGCGACGCGTTCGGAGAGATCGGAGATTGTGGCATCTTGGGCGAAGGATAATGCGATTGCTTTGCCGTGGTGGGTGAGTGTTATTTCGACATCGGAGCTGGAGGGCGGAGGCGCAGATGTGGTGTCGGCTTCTGTCATCGTGAAAGCACTGTAAGTGGTGGCGAGAGGATGTTTAGGCGGTGGGAGGGTTGGATGTTGTCTAGGCGCGATCTAGTATACGGAGTAAGTGATGAGGTTAGTAGTGATTAAGATATATAGCTTCGCAGCATGTGGCCGAGCTCTAGCCATGCGTTGTTTCGGTGACGTTCTGCAAGGCTTCCACGAGATGACGGGGTCGCCATCGGAATTTGTCATCACTAAACTCCGATGCTCAGCCATGCTGTTGACTATTCACCACCATCGCCATCGGGCCGTTGAGCACACTCGCAGATCTTGGATTCTTGGTAACCAGGGAGCCTCACTCGCTTGTTCCCGTGCTCACTGATCAATAATCGTTACATCTGCTACTTAAATTCAACGTCGCCGGGTATCAATAAAGCGTGTACTAGAAACATACGCTGGCAATGCCTGGGCTATAACCCAGTATAAGCCATCGACACCACCTGCATTACGGCCAACTGGAATACTAATCCAGTTTTGACTCTTCCTCCACCTTCTTCTTGTCCTCTTCTTCTTTCTTCTTGCGCTCTTCTTCTTCCTTCTTCAGCGTTTCCTCATTCTTTACCCATTCTTTGACATCAGGATCCCATCGGTGTCTACGCATCGTTAGTTATGACTTGTCCATGCATGAAAGTGACTCTGCTTACCCATGGAAGTTCGTCTCTATCAGGGCCTTCTCCTTGTACTCGTCCACAAGTATCTTGTCGTAGTTGTACGGCACCTTCGCCGGGACGCCCTCGAACATGGTCTCCCGCATGGGATACAGCTCCGATGTGTCGTACCGGTGGTAGTTCTTGCAAACCCACTGCCCCGGGTTCTTGTCTGGATGTGTCTCGCTCAATCCGGTGATGTCGATGAACAGGCCGTTGCGCAGGTCGATCCATCGCGCATCAATAATGTTCATGCCATCGCCACGCTCGCGCTCCCAGATCCACGGGTTGACATCGAGAAGGTATTCGCGCTGGACGGCGCCGTCGTAGGAAGTGTAGTGGTATCGAGTCTGGTTGTGTACCGCGCCGAGGTGTTGGAGTGTGCTGTCGGACACCTGAGTGTCGAGATCGAAGTCCCATGGAAGACGCTGCAGAGGCGTTAGCACGCATCGCAAACATTTGGAGGCAAGACTCACCTTTCCATTCCACCACCAACCGAGCAATGTCCCGTGTGCTATCCAGGTGTCGAGTTCGTTTTCGCGGAAAAAGTTCAGGTAAGCGCGGACCATGTGTGATTGCGTATCCGTTCGCTCCTCGTCGGAGACGATGCCCTTGAAAAAGCGCTTGTCATAGTGGCCGAGCGTAATACTGCCTCTGGAGGTGTGTCAGCGAACATGCTACAGGCTGCAATGACATCGCGAGTTGCAAGGCTATGATGACTTACCCGGGCTCATGAAAGTACTTGGTATCAGGCTTCTTCTTACCTTTCCTGCTTTCAATACGATCGGCCAAGTTGTCTCCTCCTTGATGTCGGTTGAGTGGCGTCGGTGTGGCTAGTGAAGAGGCGAAGAGTGTCGCGGTTGCAAAGGCGGCAGCGCATTTCAGTAACCGCATGGCTGAGGCGAGGACTCCACTTCAGGCTTCCAATCCAAATAGGTATACCGTCTCAAAGACAACGAGACGAAAGGGCGCCAACAGTAACGAACACTTGCCGTATGTATGATGTTATTATGATCGTCCAAAACTCCAAGGTAGAACCGAGCAAAGGTAAGCGCAGCGTTTCGGGAAGGTGATCGCGTGCTCAAAGTTCAGCGATCGACAGCCGTGGGGCAGGGAAGGCGCGTATAACGTCAGGGAAGAAGAAGCAACCGCAGGCGGGACAGAGAAGATAAGAGAAGCGCAATGGGGGCCAACCATGGGGTCACAGCGTGCGGGAGGGGAGTCAAAAGGCTTCATGACGCGCACGCGACAGGTTGCCAACCTGAGCCTGTGCCTGGTGCCGCCCACTTGCTCCTCCACAGTAGCCTTGTGCTACGTAAACTCATTCGCGCTCCCATTCCCCTTGCTGGTTACAGGTGTGCCGCTTTTCCGGGGTATCATGGGTATCTGGCGAGCTTGACAGGCGTCGTCGTCCAGTGACACGCGGCGTTGCGTGGTTAAGCTTTCCAAGATTTGGCTTTGGGCGGGTTTCGGATGGCGGCTGCAGTTTGCCGGCCGTTGTCGCCGTTGGTATGGCGTGGCGGCGGCAGCTGTGGCTGGTGAGTCTGCGCCGAACAAATTACATGGCCTGACGTCTCCATTTCGCGAAGATCCTTCGTCACGGTCCTCCATGACAACTGAAGTCGTCGTGCAGGACCTACGTATGCCAATAATGAAGTCGCATGCGCAGTTACTGAAAGCGGCAAAGCATTTTTCGCTAGGCGCATTCACGCAGGTG